CACACACACACACACACACACACACACACACACACACACACACACACGGAGGTCTAGAATGAAAAGCCCCGTCCCCAGCACAAGGATACTCTGAGATAAGGAATCAAGAAAATTCAAGAGACTTCTCTGAGGTTGCCTGAGATTATTTGGATTCAGATCTTTCTGGAATCAGCTGTGTGCACTTTATTGCTGTCTCTGAGAATCTAAATTCTCTGGTGGTGAGAAAAGCCAAAGGGATTGCACTTGATAAAGAAGAACAGAAGGGGGGGGGACAAGTGAGAGTGGGAGTGGCATTGATGACTTTGTCCTCACCCACCCTCCTCTCGATCCGTAGGAAGTCCCGTCCCCAGAGGAGCCGCTGGTCCTGTCCACTGGAGACCTACAACTTCTGCACTTCTACGCAGGGCAATGCCAGAGCCACTACTCGGCCCTGCAGGCTGCTGTGGCAGCCCTCATGGCCAGTACCCAGGCCAACCAGCCGCCATGTCTCTTTGTGCCCCACGGCAAGCGAGTGGTGGTGGCCGCTCACCGCCTGGTATTTGTCGGGGACACCCTAGGCCGCCTGGCAACCTCTGCACCTCTCCGGGCACAGGTGGGGGCTGCAGGCACCATGCTGGGCCAGACTCTGCGGGCCACTGTGCTTGCCGTCAAGGGGGCTGCCTTAGGATACCCATCTGACACTGCGGTCCAAGAGATGGCCCGGTGTGTGGCAGAGCTCGCAGGGCAGGCCCTACGCTTTACCACCCTGCTCACTGGCCTGCTCCCCTGAGGGCCTGTTCATAAGCCTTACCCTTAATGCCTGCCAGAGCTCTACTCTGTGCTGAAGGTGGCTGAGGGCTGGGCTGGAGGGAAAGAGGATTCTTCCCCCTTTTCATCTGTCTTGGTCATCTTAGCGACTCACTAAGGCATCTCCTCCCCTCCACCTACTGCTTTTTGTATGAGCCATTTTGTATAAATTATTTATATTTAATATTTCTTGCTTTGTTCAGGCAGGCATCAGGCTATCTGGGGTAGGGAGGGGCTCGGCTCCCCTTATCATCCTGGGGTGGAAGTCGCTGTATGGCCTTCTGCCTTTGGGAGTTTGGAACAAGGAAAACCAGGTGGCTGACACTTGAGGCCACACAGAGCCTCTCTCCTGTTTCTTGGCTAGAGATGACCAGCACCTCACTCTCTTCTGAGATGGGGGCAGGGCAGAAGTTGCCCAGAAAGTAATAGTCTGGGAAACACTGAAGAGCTCCTCCCCCCGGAAGTCGGGCCAGCTGGCCAAGGGCATGGGATGCTCCTCAATAAACCCTGCCGAATGGTTTCCGGACTCTGCTTCTTGAAAGCCTGAGGAGGAAGGCCTGGCACCCCTGCCCATTCCTGTAGGACACAATATGAGGAGTAATTTTGCTCCCCAAAACCTTTTTGATAGACTTGTCCTCAGCTCCTGGAATGGCCAAGATAGAGTCCTAAAGGTACATAGTGAATTCACTGTTCCAGCAAAACTGGGGTAGACAGCAAGTCAATTACCGTGAGTGCATCTTAAAAAGAGCTAGGCAGGTGTCACGATGCATACCTTAAATCCTTGAGCACTTGGGATGGAGAAACAGGTGGATGTGGATCTGTGAGTCTAAGGCCGGACTGGTCCATGTTGGGAGACCCTATCAAATAAGTTACTGGTGATGGAAATCAATGGTGATGTGAAGAGATTAGGTGAAGGGAGCAGCTGGAGAAGGAGATGTTGGTGAGGAAGGCTGGGAAGTGATGCCTGAGCTGATATGGGCTCAAGGAACCAAGATGAGTCTGTGGCTAGTGTTTGCAGACTTCCTTGTCACATGACGTCACTAAAGGGGTGCAGACGTGGAGAGTTTGGCCACAGCAGCCTCAAAGGTACCTCCTTCAAGAGGGCCCCAACCAGAAAGCTAACCTCAGCTCCCCACCTCAGGCCAGCTGTAGCCAACCGAAAGGCCAGTGATCTGGCTTCCCTAGGTGACTTCAAGAGAGTCCATCCCATAATTTTCCCCCGGGCTTCCATCACTTAGGGAAGCTGGGGCTGCAGATGAACACAGAAGGTTAGTAGCCATCATCCATTTGGTTCCACTTTCCACAAAACCTGGCTGAGTAACTCAGCCAGGGCGCCGCAAGGTGTGATCATAATCCTTGTGTCCCTGTGCATTTGCCTCTTCAACTTTCTCATCCTACGTGAGGGAGAACATTTTCAGATTGGGGGCTAACAAATTCACCCCTACATATACATTGAAGGCCATTCCCACCTGCCAGATCAGCTTGCCAAAAAGAACCTGAATGTGGAAAAGGAGTCTTCAGTTCAACTCTAGACGCCTTGTGTACTTGTGTGGATGTAAGTCACCCCAGCTTTAGTACGAGGGTGATCAAAACAGTCTGAATGGACTTTTGAAGACAAGAAAATGCTTAAAATTAGAGAATTACTAAGCTGGGCTACCACACACCTTTAATCCTAACACCTGGGAAGTAGGGACAGGCCTGGTCAACATAGTGAGACCACGTCTCCAAGAACAAACAAAAATTAAGGAATCTTATTCCAAGGTGAAGAGAAGGTTGGAGACCAGCTAGCGGCAGTGACTCCAGGCTCTAAGGAGCACAGCAATTCTGAAAGGCCCGAGGGGAGGTGGGCTGAGGACACTGGCGTTAGAGGAGGGTTTTCTGTGGAAAATTTCTGAACAAAGGAAGTAACGAAGCGATGATTCCGTGGCTTAGACGTCGTCCATTGTGGCTCATAGGAGAAAAAAAGATTTCTTTACAAACAGTTTCCGGACTTTACCTGGGTTTGAGAGTGAAATAACCGTCAAGCATTACATCTCTGAGGAGTACACGTCTGATTTGGGGGTGTGCACACTCGCGCTTGTGCATGCATGCATATCTAGTTGAAAATTATGGTTCAAGGGTCTGGGTGACACCAGGATTGTGCATTTTTAGCAATCTCCCAAGCGGCCTGGATGCCATGAGTCCATCAGCCACACCACAAAGGAAGTCTGGGGCTGAGGTGTGATCTCTCTGAGGCAAACATGTCTGAACTGACAGCCAAAGGATGAGGGAAACTTAAAGAAGAAACCCTGGGGCATAGGAACCAGCTTGTGCCAAAGCCCTGTGCTGCAGGAAAAACTGAAAGAGGGCCAGGCAGATGGTTGGAATGAAGAGTAGGGGAACAAAGTGGAATGTGGCTACAGAGAGCACGTGACCAGACATGTAGGCTCAAGTATGCCTGTGTCTTGAATAATATTCTTAGTGAGAGAAGTCATTGAAGGCAGCTAAGCAGGAAAGAGACACAATCGGACCTCCGTTTGGGGGCCTGGCAAGGTGGTTCAGCGAGCAAACCTGGAAATCACTGTCTTCTCCAGAACCCATGGAAAGAAGAAAGACGGGAACTCTCCTCTGACCCCCAACATACCCTGCCTGGCATGCACACCTACATATAAACATGATGTGCTTACACACTAATAGGTTTTTTTGAAAAACAAAACACCTGCATGTTTAAAAAGATCATTCCATCTGCACCATGAGTGGCAGATGGAGAGAAACAAAGTGGGTTCATAACACCAGCTGGGACCTGAGAGTATGACAGTCCCCCTGAGTGAGAAGCAGAGTGAGACTTTTGTGAGGGGCTTGACGTGAGATGAAGAGGGCGTTCCAAGGATTCACACCGAACCTCTGACCACAGGAGGATGGTGAGGTGCCATTCCCTCAAAGAGGGAACCATTAGAAGCCGCCCAGATTGCAGGGAAGGGTGTTGGATGAGGGCCCTAAGAGACGTTCCAAGTTAGGTGGGCCACCGAGAGGTTGCTTCCTGGACCCGGGACTCTGAGAAGAGCTGGAAATAGGAACCAGGCGTGTATTTCCTGGGTTGATGGAGTCTAACTATATAGCACGGGGGTAACCGCGTGAGAGCAGAAGGTAGTTGTGAACACTGAGCGGAGCTGAAGAGGAGGAGCCTGCGTCTGCCGTGGAGAACACTAGCAGGAGAAAAAGCCAGAAGCTGAGATTTGGCAGTCAAGGGATGAAGTTTAGAAGAGGTGGTCAACAGTGCCAGATGTCGCTGGAAAATAGTGATTCAACCAACCTGGGTGTGGGGGGAAGACCTGTCCCCTATAGAGAACTGAAGCTAGAGAGCCAAGCACGGTGCCAACCAGATTCCTCCATCTGCAGAACCCATACTGCCATTGCTGAATTCCATGTCTGCCTCCCCTAGAAACCACCTCTAACGGTACCCTGTCCATCCTTTAATCCTCATGGCCTCACGCACTGCCCGGGATACAGCAGGATACACTTAAAAAATTCCATCGATAAACTTAAGGGGAGGGGTGGAGAGTGGGTGGGTGATGAGTGATGGGGAAGAATTGGAATGAGGAGACATCTCGGGCGTTTGTCCTAGCTACCTACCGACTTTACGTTTTTATTTTCTTGAACCGCAATGGCCCGCAGCCCCCAGAAACAAACCACGGAGACCCCAGCCTCTCCTTCCACGGGGGCCCCGGCCCCCCTTCATCTCTGACGAACAGTCTGGACCCAGGTTCTGCTGACGTGGGAAGGGGAGGAGAGTCTGGAGGAAGGGGAGGGGAAAGCGGCGCAGAGACGGTAGAGACGGAGGAGGCGCCCGCGGCTGCAGAGCTGCAGAGCGGGGTCTCCCGGGCCTCCGCGTCCCAGCCCTGCGCACACAGCCGGGCCAGACAACCGTTCGTTCTCTCGGCGCGGCCGACAGGGCCCCTGCGGTCGGCAAGCTGGCTCCCCGAGTAGCCACCGGGACCCCCGAGCCCAATGGCGGGGGCGGCAGCAAAATCGACAGCACCGTGGAGATCGCCTCCAACGCCAACGGAGTAAGTCCCTGCGCCCGGGGGGCGCCACCGACCCCTCCCCGCCCGCGCGCGCGCCCCGCCTCCCCCCCGCGGCCCCCCGCGAGCCCGCGGCCTCCCCCCCATCATCTCCTCTCTCCCGCCCCTCGCCGCAGCAGGTCGGGAGCCTCGGAGATGCGGTGCCCCCCGAGCAGCTGCAGGGTGAGCGGGAGCGCCGGCGGGAGGGGGAGGGCGACGGGCTGGGCAGCAGCCTGTCGCTGGCCGCGCCCCCGGGCCCCCTCAGCTTCGAAGCTCTGCTCGCCCAGGTGGGGGCGCTGGGTGGAGGCCAGCAGCTGCAGCTCGGCCTGTGCTGCCTGCCCGTGCTCTTCGTGGCCCTGGGCATGGCCTCAGACCCCATCTTCACGCTGGCACCCCCGCTGCACTGCCACTACGGCGCCTTGCCCCCCAACGCTTCGGGCTGGGAGCAGCCCCCCAACGCCAGCGGCGTCAGCGTCGCCAGCGCGGCCCTGGCAGCCAGCGCCGCCAGCCGGGTCGCCACCAGTACCGACCCTTCGTGCAGTGGCTTCGCGCCGCCGGACTTCAACCACTGCCTAAAGGACTGGGACTATAATGGACTACCTGTGCTCACCACCAATGCCATTGGCCAGGTGAGGCGGCCGGGCGGGACCTGGAGTGGGAGCGGGCCGGGGCGGTGAGGACCGGGCCTCATGCGCCTGCACCACTCTCACGTCCCCAGTGGGATCTGGTGTGTGACCTGGGCTGGCAGGTGATCCTGGAGCAGATCCTCTTCATCTTGGGTTTTGCCTCCGGCTACCTGTTCCTCGGTTACCCCTCGGACAGGTGAGGACTGTTTGGGGGGGTAGGGCTGATAGAAAAGAGGGGGTGCTGGCAGAACTAGCCCAAGCAGCTGGGTTCACAAGATGACAAGGATGTTTCTATTGACTGTACTCTTAAGCCTCCTCTGAACTCCTGTTTAACTCCTGTTTCATCCCCCATCAAGAAATACACCCTCTATATCCACCCCCACACAAGGAGGTGACCTCACACTCGTGACCTTTTACCCAGTCACTGATCAGAAGATCCACATCCGTGAGACCGCAGCCTCATCTCCAGAGTTGACAGTCGCTTCCTCAACTAACACCTCGTCTCCACATTTCTTGTT